TTTTTTTTTTAGAAAAGTAAGTTTAAAAATTCATTTGGTACACTTATAAGTACTCATATATTTTTTACTTATATATTATACTTGTAAGTACTCAACGAATTTTCTTTTTTTTATTATAACACAATTTCAAAGATACTATAATGATTTCAACGATTTCATTTGATTTCAATCTTAACACATCAAAATTTAATAAAATATATTTTTATCATTTGTACAAAAATATAATAATTCAAATATTCGAAAAATAAAAAAGAAAAAATAATAAACAAATAATTAAAATATTAATTATAAATAGATAAATAAATATATAAGCATGTTTATAAATCATTAGTTAATAATCACGTGATGCTATTATGTTATATTTGTTCATTATAATTATTATATTATTATTATATTATATTATTATATTATTATAATTGTTTTATAATTGTTTTTTTGTAATTAATTATTATTAATTGATTAAAATATTTCTAAAATTTATCTTCATTAAATTTATATTAAATTTACATCTAAAAATTTCATCAAATCTTCCTATTTTTCAGTAATTTTCAGTTATGTCTGGTACTCTAACTCCTGTCTATTTATGGAACTGCGTCACATGGAGAAACAACGAACATTGAGAAGAACTATGAGAAGCGATTCGAATCTGATCGCTGCTCGCATCTGCTTCAAAATAGGTGATTCGAAGTACAGAACACGGTCTCTGATGACCTTGATATCCTGTGACAGTTATGATACTTACGATACACACGATACCATCTCGCGAATCATCGACGATACCACGTTAACGCCCGCCCAAAAGACGATGAGAATTCTTGGATTGACCGAACAGGATATTGTGGACGCACGTTCAAGAAAAAAAGAAAGGGAAATTTTTAGAAGATTAACAGAAGAAGAAGACGATATTCCTGTCAATACTATTCTATCAGGATATTTTTTCATTAGTAATTACGATTTAACGAATAAATTAAGAACTGAAAAAACAGAAGATGAGAAGAATGAAGAGATAATAGATGAAGATACTATAGATAAGTATAAAAAAGATGAAGTTAAGGCGGACATGAAGGAACATGAAGATGATCAGGTAATAGGCTAGAAAGGAGCATAGGCAAAATTTTTTTATTATTATAACAAAAATTTATATTTAAGTTAAAATTTTAAGTTAAAATTTGAATTTGATCAATAAATTACATTTTGTAATTACAAACCATTTAAAAATTATTTTTCTTGATCTTATAAGCTTTTAAATAATTTACAATAATTTAATTTTTATTTTATAAAAGATTAAGGGAAAGATATTAAAACATTTAAAAATTAATTTAACAAAAATTAACATTAGAGGAAAGTTTTTTTTTATTATTAGAAAATAATTTTTGATTTTGATTTTTTTGTTCCATCTTATCAGACAAGAATATATGAACATGATACTATAAATACAAATGAATGTGAAGAAGATCAAGTTACGATAAATGAATTTTACAAAGATGATATCACATTATATGTTAGTTCAAAGAATGAAATTTTGAGCGAGAAAATTTCAAAGAATCAAATTATGATTGACGAAAAATATGATGATAATATGAAAGTTATCAGTGACACTCATAGTGCAGTGAGTTCATTAACTCTAATAAAATATATATAACATATTTTTTTATAGAAATAAAGCATTGAATAATTGTTATTTCAACGCAGAAAGAGATTTTATAATTCTTAGCTAACATTATAATAATAAAACATCGTTCTTTTTATTATCTAAATATGATTAATCGAAAATCAGACAATAAAGTTTTTTTTTGAATTTTATAAAAATTAGCAAAAATTGTATTTTTTAAACGAATTCGACACCAACAAAATTATGAATTCTTTCTTCCCTCAATTTTATAAATGTACATATATCTAAATTTAAACAGAAACACTAATCTTCAAATAATCTTAGATTATATTTTATTTATATAATTTTTTCTAATCTTTTTCTAATATTCTCATCATATATCAAATTAGTTAATTAATAAATTTTTTATTTTAATTCAGAACAGTCCATTTATAACACTAACAAGAAATAATGGCATTTTTAATACACAAGACATCAAAGATAATTTTTCTGAGAAAACAAATCTATCAATGCACCAATATTCAAATTCTCAAGATATTAAAAACAATTCTTTCGAAAAAACAAATCAGCCAATGGATCAACAACCACAAGAAAATAAAAACAATTCTTTCAAGATAACAAATCTGTCAATGGACCAACGAAGTTCACCGACGAAGAAGAGGGGAGGAACAAATTCCTCGGAGATAAATAACACGAAGCAAATGAAATTGTGTCCATCCTATCACAACGAATTCAGCTATTGTTGCTCTTCAAGAAAACAAGATTTATTCAAGTCTTCTTCGAACACTCGACAAATGGTGGAGAAATGTAGCAGTCCTGTGAAAATTCAAGATTTATTTAAATGCAACTGCATCGTAGATGAATATTTGACTAAAGAAAAAATAGAGGAGTATTGTTTATCAGGCATAGAAACGATGAGAACCTCTACGCCTAATAAAAGTATTGACAAAGAGAAAATAATAAAAAATATAGAGGATTTGAATTCCAAAAACACGAGTTATCATTCATGTTTGAACGATTCCATTGATTTTAATCGAAATCAGAAGATAGATTTTACAGCGAATAACGCATTTCCTTTGATAGAAAAGTTGTTGCAAAATAATCCTAATATGTTAATGAATATTAAAAATGAGGCTCAGAAGTTGGAAAATGTTTATATGTTAAACAAGTCAATGCAAGAAGTTTTTTATACAGCACAGAATACTGTATCAAATAGTATGCAAAATTTATCAGATATTGTTAAAGATTTAGCTGTGACGAACAATGTTGTAACAAATATTGAAAATTTAAAAACAGTTGAACCTGAAGAAAAAAAGACAAAATTGAAGACTGAAAAGGAAATGCTAAAAACTATGGTTTCTTTGTCTGTTGTGGACAATGAAATGAGTAAGTCAAGCACTTGGAGAATTTTGAAACCAATCACTAATGTCATCTTCTTAATTCCTAATAATAATAAAAATTAAAATTTTTTTAAATTAATTGCAAAAATATATTAATATAAGAAAAAATATAAATACTGAAGTATGAAAATAGTGATTTGATCAATTTGTCAATTAAAATTTTGTCTCAATAATGATGAAAAGATTTTTAATCTATGCAAATCATTTTTAGAGAAAATTTGATTGATTATCTTCTGAATTCTCCATTTGTAGTTTTTAATTTAAAAAACATAACTTAATGAACAATTTTATATATTATTTCAATTTTTTTTTTTTTTTTTTTTTAGATGTAAGTTCTATTCAAAAGAACAATTTGAGCAATAGTAAATTGAATGTCGTGAAAAATACATTGAGTATAAATATGCCTAATAAAATAAATGTGCCAGAATATTCATTCGGAGATGCGAAAATTCAAAAGTTCTTCCAGGATTCCATGAAAGTTTTTGATGGTTGTTATGAAAAGGATTTTGCCAATAATTCAGAATTACAATGTTTGCTTCAACAATTAGATAAAAAGTGGAGTATGTATCCTGGTCAATCTGATCAGGACGTATTAATATCATCATTAATACCTTTAAATCAAAAAGATCAAGTTAATCATTCAATACAAATACAAGACTCAAAAATTGCTTCTGTTAGTAATTTCGATAGGATAAAAAGGTACGCAAGAATTCAGAAGTTTTCATTGTTATAAATACTTGAAATATAAATACTTGAAATATAAATAGTACAATATAAATACTTGAAATATATAATATATTAATATTATATATATTAATATTATCGCAGACAAGATGCAAAATAAATCTAACATCAATTCATTTTTTTATCTCATTTTTATTTTATGAACATTATGATTTTCTTATTATTTTAACATTATTCTTAATATTAAAATTAAAATTTTTTTATCAGTTTAGCTCAGAATAATGATTGAAATTATTATTTTATTTTTAATATAAAATTAAAAATAATTTTTTGTTTAAATTACATCGCAATGGTAATCGTGTTATGCATTAAAATAATGGTAAATTAAAAATTATAACATATTGTAATTTTAAAAATTAAAATTTTATATCTTGTCTCTATATCTTATTCACGCGGCAATAGTAATAAACAAAAAGAACAAATAATAAAAGAAGAATAAAGATGAAGATAAGAATTGCAATTTAACGCCATCTTTTAAATGCTAAAGATATTCGATAAATGACGTTGATTATTAATCGATCTTACTCTACTCTCTTCAATCCATGAAGAAATGTTTTTAATGATCAAGAGATGGCGCTAATTTTTATTTCTATTCTTTCATATTTTCTTATTTCTTCTTTCTTTCTTTTTTTTATTATGTTTCATTTGCGATATTTTGGAGACGACTAATTTCTTCATTTTTATTTTATTTCTATCCATTATTTGTTCTCTTGTTTTATAAATTATATGTATCTAAAAAAAGACTTTTATATATCATGTAAGTTTATTGTCTTTGTCTCTCTATTGATTTAGAAGTTTAAAAAATTTTAAATCATCTATTTCATTATTTATGTTACATAAATAATGTTACATAAAAATCTTAATAATATAATCTTAATAATATAAATAAATTTCGTTTTAATAGCATTACAAATCCAATGATTTAAAAATTTTTGTAATAAATTTATATTATTTTCATTATATTACGATAAAAAAATATGATTATAATTTTTAATTCATAAATAATTATAAATAAGATTTTATTATTTATAACAATCAAAAAATTATCCTATACGTGTAATGCATGGAAATATTTATGAAAGAAATATTTATCAAAGAAGTTAATTAATTTCAAAATTTTTTATGATTAAATCAATATAACTATCATTCTAAATCAGTATTTCAAAACATGAAACATAAATTTTCATGAATATATTATTACTTATTAGTTTATCTGTAATAATCGACATAAAGTTATAATTTTAATCTAATTTTAAAAGTTTCATATTCAAATAATTTTTTATTATGTATTATATATCAATAACATAAGTAATTTTTAAAACTCTCCATTTCTAAACAAATTCTATTATTTTTACCAGATATGAATCAAAATCAAAATGTTCCACAAGCGAACACCACGCATCACAAATTGTGCAAGTGAACGAGCCATTTTTTGACAATAACTCATATGATTCTCAAAAATCCAGTTCCATTAGTATCATGAAAGACGTCTTCACGCAAACCGGCAATAATCTAAAAAACTCCTCCAGCATTAGCCTTACGAATGGAAAGAAATTACGCAAGAAATTCTTCTTCTCACGCAAACGAAAAGAATCAAGAAATGTATCTAACACTAGTATGCATGATGACAGATCTGAATCGCGAAGTTCAATATACTTAAAGGATCATGTTAAATCTCTTACACATCAAAGATTTAATAATCAAAAGAAACAGTCCAATTTGATGAAATGCCAATCCGACGAGAATATCTGCGTGTGCGAAATGACAGACAGCATGAATTCACTTTCAGAATCAAGGAAAGAAGAGATTAAAAAATGCACCAAATGTAAAGTGGAAACTTTTGGCACGATTCCATTGTCACAAGTGGTTCGACCATCGATGTTTGACGCGATGATCTATCGTAAGAAGCCTCCTATGTATCCAAAGAAAACTAAAAACGAACTTTCTATTCAATCCAATGCCTCTAACACAAATTCGAAAAAAATATCGCCGTTCAAGAAACTTCTGGAAACATCTAAGAAATCAACGGAAAAACAATCGTCTCATACGAAAAAGTTCAATTGGAAGAATAAAATAGAGTCATTGGTAGATAGGGAAGCTCGAGAAATGAGAGCTCTAAAAGCTTATAATGAAGTCACTTTAGTAAAATACAAGAAGGAATTGGAAGCTAAAAAGAAATTATCAAAAAGCACTAATCCTGATGCTAACCCTGAAAGTTCCAAAGATAGATCTTCTTCTTCTTCGAAGAAGAGTAACTTGTCTGAACGTTCAAAGAAAAGTATTCATAAAACTATAGAATCATTTTATGAACGTTTTCACGATGATTATATAGACAAAGAAAACTTTACTGTTGATGCAACGACAGAAACAGAACCGTTGTTCAAAACGCCAAGTGTAAAAATTCATAATGTTTCGAACGAGAAGTATTCTTGCTCGAAATTGTCCAAAGTCAACAAAGTGACTGACAAGCTATTAGATAATTTTGATAGGTTGCACGGTGGACAAGCGAAGCAAGATACGAAGAAGAACAAACAAACTGGTGAAATAGATATAAGAAAACAGTACACTAAGTACAGCAAACCGAAAAAATTGCCAGACGATGATTATACTTCGATACTATCTATGAAAAAGTTAGAAGGTACGCAGAAAGGTCGTGAGTTGGAGAGGACACCTGCTAAGGAAAATGTCAGAGATTACTTGGAGAGTACAGAAGTGTTATCTAATGACACTGATCAATTACTTTCTTTCGAATCTCGCACAGACAACACAAATATCGCGGGACCTTCAATTAAGGGCGACTATAATAAACAATCTTCGTTAATGGAAGGTGTGGATTTTGGTGCACAAACTGGCAATTTATTGACAACGATAAAGTCTACTATCTTTCAAAAAGTTACTTCATCATGGTCCTCTAGCAGTATTGATCAGAGTACAAAAGAACCACAAGTACATGGTAAATATTGTTTTATTTGCTATAAAATTTTAAAACCTTTTTTTTGAGATTCTATAAAAGATCTGTTTAAAATAATATAAGACATTATCTTTAAAATTTTTGTTGAAAAAGCATCAGCATCATACAATATATTGCTAATGTTTGGCGACTTCATATATATGTGTACAAATATATATCTGGCACAAAATTAAGTTATTCATAACTTAATAATATTTAACTGATATTTTTGTAAACTTTTATATTTGTTTTTAATAGAATTGATCTTTTAAAATTAATAACTTGTTTATCCAAAAGTCCTGAATAATTTTAATTATAGTTCAATAATGTATTCAATTCTTTTTCCAGATTATCAAGCTCAATTTCCAAGTCAGATGTTTGAAATCGAACCAGTACAACAACTTGATTATAAAGATGAAGAAGAAACAACTTCAGAAATCGTAAATTATGAGAATATAATAGAATTAATATCAGAAACAAAAGATCAAATGGAAATGAAACCAATGTTAGAAATAGAAAATAAAGTAGATCTCGAAAAAGAAATCAAATTGATACCTAAAATGGAATATCATCAAGAGGAAATGAAACCAACGTTAGAAATCGAAACAAATGTTGATCTCAAAGAAGAAATCGAAAAAAGTATTGATCTCAAAGAAGAAATAGAAAAAAATATTGATCTCAAAAAAGAAATCGAAAAAAATGTTGATCTCAAAGAAGAAATTGAACCAATTCGAGTAACATCAGAAATCGAAGTCGATAAACAAAAAATTGATAATTCTAAAGTTTCGAAAGATAAAGAAGAGAAAGAAATAAAAGAAAATATTTCAACAGATATTCTTCAAATATCTTGCTCAGAATGTATCAATTTTGAAGAAGAGATTCAAAATAGAGAAGAAATAGAAGAAATCGAAAGGACTAGCCTCGAAGTAATGTCAAGTGAACCTCAAATAAGAGAAACTTCATCAAATTTTAGAAATTTCAGAAGAAACATTAATATGAGCTACGTCGGTAATGGTGTCATTTTAAGTAATTCTAACTCTCCAAGGGGAAATCCACGTCCATGGGACATAGTGGATGAGGATACGATTAGAATGCTTCACAACGCTTTTTCTTATCGATCTGTAGATACTTCTTTCGATTTCTTCCGAGAAATTCTGATGGTAGATGGCGAGACTATCAGAATGCTCCACAACGTGTTCTCTTACCAATCATTTAACGCTTCATTAGACTTTCCTCGAGAAATTCTGACAATTGATGATATTTTAAATAGATCCTTAGAATATCCAATCGATGAATTTATTTTTCAATCTGACAGAGAATTCACGGGTCTTACCATGGAACAACTTCCTCCAATGTCTTACGAACATCATCATGCTATTTTTACTACCATACGACAATTTCAAAATTTGGACGAAGAGGATCAAGAAGATGGTATTTGCGATTTATACATCACTACTATCGATCACGAAGATTTGCCTATCGAAATGGAGGCTACGGACGAGTTTGATGATGATGATGAAGTGGAACATACAGAGTTTAGAATAAACGAACTTTTGACGACCATGATTCGAATCTTACGGAATTTGAATGATCGTGGATACAATTTGGAGGATATTTTTCGACTGTTCGAGATTTTTCGAGAACCTTCGAACGATGAAGACGATATGATAGAAGAAATTGAAGAAGAAGAAGAAGAAGAAAAGAACGAAGAAATGGAAGAGCAAATACAGGAAGAAAATAAGATATTGCAATTCATTAAAGAAGACATGTTCACGAATATTAAATTTCCTATTGTAGTCAGATGGACTGATTTATTACCTGATCTTTCACCTATCGAAAACAACGAAACTGAAGAGCTTGATATTATGCTTAAGGAAACAGAACTTAGTAAAATAAATTTGTTTTCTTTGAGGGATGATAGTTATGATAAACTTACTTATTTTGGAACGAATTTAGAGTTACTTCCTATAGAACGTTGTATAACTTATGGAATATTGGAAAAAGTTCACGAAGAAAATGAAATTATCGATAGTGAAGAAACGAAGAAAGTCGAGAAGAATGAAGAAATTATTGCAATCGAAGATATCGTAGATCTTAAAGAAGTTAAAGAAATGTGGAACCATAAACACATCGAGGTTGAGGAAGATGTTGCGTATCAAATGATCGAGGAAAACATCAATGATACGAGTTTTAAAGAAATTTATGTTGACAAGGATATCCAACTAACGGATGAAGAAGAGAACGAAGAGAACGAAAAGAACGATTTGCGAACGACAGATGAAGAGATGTACGAATGCGAAGAAAGTAATATCGATATACAATCAGATTTTGAGGTTAAAGAGAAGATCAAAGAAAAGGTTAAAGAGATTGAAGAGGTGATTAAAGAGATGATTAAAGAGGAGATTAAAGAGGAGATTAAAGAGGAGGTTAAAAAGGAGATTAAAGAGGAAAAAAAAGAGGACAACAAAGAACAATTATCTTTGTATGCTATCTTCACTTTTGGACTAGTTGTCTTGTATTTCTATATTCAATATTATTACAAAGAAATATTTACATTTAGACAAATTTCCGTGTCCACATCGAGTTTAAAACCTTTTGAAATTCATGCAATGCCAACGTCGACAACTACATTCTTAAAAAATTCAAAGCTTATAAAGAAAATCAAGAAAGAAAAAGAAAATAAAGAAGAGAGTCTAAACGAAAACAAAGAAGAAATCGATCACGATTCGTTAAAAAGTGTCATCGATTTCGAAATGTCAGAAATTTCTAGTTTCACTGATTCAGAATTCAATTTTGATCCCAATTTGCATAAAACGTCCTGGAGTAATTTAAAGATGATACATGGGCATAGTTCAAAAGAGATAGGTAACGAAGTGAAAAGGATTGAAATTCATTCAATTTTCATGTCTGATAATAATTTAATTCATGATTCATCGAATAATCAATTGCAAGATGAAATAGATATTTGTTTGGATGAGAAATTGGAATCGCTTTCTCCGCATTACAGCCTAGTCAGGAATAGCAGCCAAATGAATATAATCGAATTTTACGAAAAAGAAAATAAACTTCAATTCATCGAACCTGATCTCAAGTTGTTAGAATTGCGTCTTGCGCAGGAAGAGATAGATACTCTTCAATACAAAGACGATGATTCGAGCTCGACAAAATCTCTGCAACACGAGAACGAAACAAAATTATTCGAAGAGGCATCGTACAATTCTTACGCGAAGGTAAAATTAAGCGAGAAAGAACTTCAAAAGAATTATGCTATAAATCGAAAAGATAGTCCAAGAAAATCAGAATTATCCGTTTTCTACGAAATTCCGGTAGAGCACGAAGAATCAGAAGAGCAACAAGAGTACGTTTCCGAAAAAATTATTTTTTCCAAACGAAACGAGCAGGTTGAAGAGGTTAGGTTATCCGTGGAACAGAATAAGCAACCATCGAATTCGGCACAATTTATGGAAACGACCGACAGTTTCGACTCGACTTATACCAAAATTTCCGAAGTCTCGAGAAACACTGTTTCCGTAGATTTGAACAAATCCTCGATGGAAGATTTCACGATAGGATCGAACGAGTCGTACGAGTCGCACGAGTCGAATCAGTCGAACGAGGATAGATGAGAAAAAAGAAATCGTCCATGAATCATTTCGTTTCGTTCCGATTTATTTTTTCGTATTTTTTTTTTTTTTCTCGCGATAACGATCGATGGATTTTAACTCAATAATAAATGATCCGGGAACTTTTGAAAGAGATTCTTCTTTTTTTCTTCGAAAGAAATTCGTTTTATTTTGCATTTTGTATAAAAAGAGAAAAAAATAAAAAAAAAAAGACTGTTACGATATAGTTGGTCCCAAAAATATCCGACCAATATTGGATACACACGTTTTATTGTACGAAAAATTGTATATTATCGAATGGAAAAGCAATATTGATATATTAATTTTTAGCATATACATTTATTATTTAATTCTCATAACAATGGCCTAATCGTTTAAGAAAAAAATAACATGCATGGTGAAAAATCTTAATGAAAAATTAAGTATTATAAATATTTATTCAGGGGATCGGATATTTTTGAGACCAACCATATATCTTTTTTTTTCGCCTTCTTTTTATTTTTCTTTTTTTTTTTTCCTTTTTTTATAAAAAAAAAAAAGAAATAAATGTTACGCAAATTGACATTTATGTCGATAATTATTAGAAAAGATATTTTTCCCTTTTCCTTCGATTTTACAAGAAATAATTGTTTATCTTTTGAAAAAGAAGCGAAACGCCTATCGTGAATGAATTTTATTTATTTCGTTTCTTAACGATGATGATATTGATTTACCTTACATTTGCTATTTTATAAGTAGCACAACGTTTTTCAACGGCGATTTATTTAATGATACTTGTTAAATTTTCTTAATGATTCAAAATAATAAATGAATATATTTTAAAGAAATCTTTTTTATACCAATATCTGTCCATATCAAGTCCACGTAATATATCAAATTTTCGGTAATTATTTACGAAAAATCCATCCAGGTAATCCTCGAATATTGTGAAGATTTTACTTAATTCATCATATTAAAAGGTTATTAACAAAAACGTTTTTTTCTTCGAAATAGTTTTAGATCAAGATAATTTATTGCTACAGACAATTAATAGCTACGATTAAAAAATTGCCAATGCAAATTAAATCGGCTATTTAGCTCATCGATTATGATTAGCTAAGTAAGTTTTTATTTAATTTTGATTTATGGTGAAATTAAACTTAGAATTAACAGATTAATTGATATCAAAATTTATTTAATTTTATGGTTTATTATTGGGTTTGGATTAGGTTAGTAACTTTTAAATAAACAATGCCATAACTTTTAAATAAACAATTAAAATTTTTAATTAATTTAATAAACTATTCAATGTGATAATCTTGACAATATATTAAAAAATTCATGGAGATCAAGGAATACATTTTTGTAAATATTTATCAAATTTCTTTTATTTTTAATATAAATTAATGATGAAAAAATAAAATATTTATTATATATTAACACTGTAATATTAATTCTTGCATGATGGATTATTTTGGATCTTTTGTAATCCATGCTATATTGTATTAATATCTTTAGTAATAATGATTTTACAAGTAAAATTATATGTTAACAAAATTTTGATTAAAAATAATTATGTCCTTTTTTTAATGATCAAGATTCAAGATCTCATTAATTTTCATAAAATCTAAATTTATTCAAACATTGGTTTAATTTAAATAATCTTTACAAATGAAGTTCATTCAATTCAATTGCCCTTTTATCTCGTTATTGTGCTATTCAATAAACTTAATAAATACACTTAATTAAATACATTTCCTGTTTGTCCTTCCTTAACTATCATTTAATCGTTCGAGTGTTATCGATTTTCTATTTCCTTGTGTTTTTTTTTTTTAAATAGATTTTATAAATACTTTATTTTCAATTTTTATAAATTATCAAAATTAAGTTTTATTTTAAATCTTTTATCTATATCGTATATAAATTTATAAATGAGAACAATTTTCAAATTTAAAAATTATCAATTTTTACATTTTTTATCTTTTTAAGCTATTTTTTTTTTCTTTTTAATTTTTACCTTAAAATATAAATTTTTTAAATCTTTAAACTTCTAGATTTTCAAATTCTTAAAAAATTCTTAAAATTTTTTTAATTTTCTAATGAATTTTCTAATTTTTTAATATTCTTCTAATGAATATTTTTATTCATTTATATATTGTAAGATGTATTCTTCAATTTAAATTATTTTATATCCTTTAATCTTTTCAGTCTTTAAATTTTCAAATTTTCCACTAACAAATTTTCTAACTTTTCTTTTTTCTCTTATTTTTTACTTTAACAAACTCTTTATAAAATACTCTTTCATAAATAACTCTTCAAAAAATATTATTTGCAAATTTGTTTGTTTATAAACAACAACAAATAAACTTTTGTTGTGTAATACATAGACAATACAAAACAATTTTGAATATTTAGTATAGATAAGAGAAAATTATCATTTTATAAGAACTCGTAATTTTGCTCATCTTATATGTTCACAATAAAATGTTTTGAAATAACTTCACAAGCATAATCATAACACTAAATGAAAAAATATTACATAATATACATGAAAAAAATACATTAAAATTGACATAAAAATAAATTTAATAAATAAAGTAAAAATTAAAACATGGAAAAACATATTTATAAAGCCGTTTAAAAAAGAAACAAGAAATTAAAACTTAAGACTTTTCAAAAATTAATTCCACATAAATTACTAATTTTTCTATAAATCTGAATATAATTAGAACAAAATAATCATATAAATTTAACTTTTTCTTTTTACTTTATTATTCATCCATTCAACGTTCTCGTTCCTAACCTCATCCATCCTTATTCACGTAACCTAACTTAAAAATTCTAATCGCATATCAATATCGCATCTTCTCGATTCTTCTGTCTCTCGTTTCACATATTAATAATAATACTTTTCCTCATTTCAAACCGAAAAAAAAACTCAACGTAACAGCGATCAACTCCTCTCCTCTTCGCTCCGTTCCGCGGCAACCGATCGCCGCGGCAATACTGTGTTGGTTAGCCACCGGTGTAGGTGTATATACGCATCGTAGGTGTACAACTTCGCGGTCTGCCACGGCGACGTACTGTTCTTGGCACAGTTTCTGACCATCTCCTATTGCGAGCGGATCGCGCTGGACCTAATATCATTGCGCCTCGCGCCACCCAAATTTCTGTGAAGCCCCTCTGATATCTCTCTTCCGGTTGTCTAACATTTGGAATCCGCGCACCCCATAGCCTAGAGGCGACATCTTCGATCTTTCCAAGTCAACGATTTTCCTTTGAAAGTGAGTAAAATCGAAGAAATTCCGCGAGTTTTCTTCCGATTTTCCGAAAAGGTGAATAAATCGAAAGATTTGGAAAATTTTAATATTGTTAACGAAATCATTTTCCCCCGATTTTTTACAAGTGAATAAATCGATTTTTTTTTAAAGTGAACAAGTATATCGAAGATCTCGAAAATTTTTCAAAAATATATCGATGATATTTCCGATTTTTTAAAAACGAGTAAGTAGATTGAATATTTGGAAGATTTTAAAAGTGAATAAATCGAAGATTTGAAAAACTTTATCGAAGCAATTTTTTCGATTTTTTAAAAGCAAATATGTTGATAGAATTTTGAAGATTTTTTAAAAGTGCATAAATTGAAGATTTGAAAAATTTTGTTAACAATGCGATTTTCTTTTTAAAAATAAGAAAATCAAAGATTTCGATTATATTTTTCTGATTTTTCAAAAGTAAGTAAAGTAAAAATTTCTAAGATTTCGTAATTAACGAGAATTCAGAAAAAAATTTTGTTTGTAATCAACATAAAATATGACATTACAAATATTGATATACGAGAAAAGATAAAAATGAAGAAGTGAAATTAAAAAATATGTTTTGGAAGAAACTTTGCTGAATAGAAGTTTAAAAGAAAAATATGATTTCTTAAATTCATTACATTTTTTTTCTATTTGTTTAATAAACATTTAGAACAAGAAAAAGGAAAATTTGTAATCAAAAAGATTCAAAGATAACAATTGAAAATCAGAAGAGAAAAATTTATTAAATCTAATTTTATTGATAAATTTTATTGATTTTTTTATTCATTTTATTTTTATTAACTCTTCTCAGTGCTTTTTAAATTTCTTGATTTTGTGATACGTTTTAGAATTCTTGTTAATTCTTAAACACATTTTTACAATATAACAAAATATTTTAATTTTTCAATTTAAAAAAATATATTTATGCATTTATGAGAAATTAAAATTTATATTTATTATTAAAAAATATAAGATGGACGTAACAATAATGCAAAAATATACAAAATATCTAAATTATATTTCTTGTTATAATATTCAAAAGACGAAATAAATCTCCATTTAGATTCCATTCTAATTGAATTCATGAAAATATAAATTTAATATAATAGTATAAATATCCACAATCTACTTATATTACATTTTCTCTAATAATAAACTTCTCTATTATTTTTATTTACCTCTATTATTTTTTTATTATTACCAATTATCAAATAAAAACTTTGACTTAAGACAAGAATTATGTAAAAAAAAATTTGATGAATCAGATATAACCATTTTCCATTTCGTAAATAAAATTCAAAGCAATATATTCAATAATCGTTATCGTTACAGAAGTATATATATTTTTAAATATCATAAAGATTATTTAGAGGCAAATAGTTCGTTTTGTCGTAAAAATTCGAAACGAAGGACGAGCTTCGAGTTTATGACGCGAAATACAAATATAAAACTATCCATTATTCATGCTAATTGGCGATAATCGCGAAGAATTGTATAATCGGCGAGTCGGCGATTTTCTTCAATTCACTCTTGCGATGAAAGTGCATCGTGGCTGCACACGAGCACACGAGACAAAAATTGCCACGGCCAATGTTTACCATGGACTACGCAAGATGTGTAAATAACGCTAAAAATTCTTCGCCAAGTGTTAGGAAACACGCCGAGATAACGAGCCTCTGCGTTACGCAGTAAACGCATAATATTTTGAAGATTTACTCGGAC